AAATCACAATGGTCGTTACCTAAATGATCTCCATGTAAGCAACATATTTGCATGTATGCACCTATACAAATTCACAAATCATAAGTATTCTACATTGGACGGTTGGCCAAGTCTTACTATGGTGTAATTTTTGTGTTTTTGTTTTATAAATCCTTTTTCTTGTTCTTGCTAATTGGAAGTACAATACAGGTCTTGGACTTGAGGAGTTGGAGTTGGTCAAAGATCGAGGCCAAATCTGTGGCTGAGTCAGTTGAGGCAGCCTCACCGGTAACAGTAACCCCATGCGCCGGTCATTCGTTGGTTAGTAGTGCCCCTTAGTTAATACATGAGTATCCATCTCTTTTTGCCAACTTTTGTCGTCACGATTATGAATACTCACAGTAATGTGCAATCATTTCTCTGTTTCTGTAGATACCTTGGGAGAATAAACTTATTTCAATTGCTGGACATACAAAGGATCCTACTGATTCTATTCAGGGTAAGAACTAATAATAATTATTATTGTAATGCCCTTTCGTTTTCTGATGATATCAGACCTTGGGTGATATCTCAGTCTTTCTGCTTTAACCATTGCTCAAGAGAACCTCTGTCTGCATTCCAGTTAAAGCTTTTCAGGACTGGTCCATTTAAGTATTAAATTTGTGCTTTCAAAGTAGTAAGACAAACACATTTCACGTTCATGCAGCCTCATTATTTTGCCATATTTTCTTTGCCTTGATTCAATTACTGCTTTCTTATGCTTTCCCCCCTGTATTGGCTCGACAGTGAAGGCATTTGATCTACAAACTTGCTCGTGGTCATTGTTAAAGACTTATGGGAAACCGCCGGTATTTATTTATTTGCTCTACTGTTCATATTTGTGAAAATCTGAGTGTAAGCACAAGAGTGGGGTTGGAATTATGGGAATCATGGTCCTTTCCCATGCATGTTTTACAGGCATCGCGTGGAGGTCAATCCGTGTCTCTTGTTGGAGGTAACTTGGTTATTTTCGGGGGACAAGATGCAAAGAGATCTCTCTTGAATGACCTGCATATTCTTGACCTAGAAACAATGACGTGGGATGAGATTGATGCTGTGTAAGATTTATCTTGAAACTTCAGAACCATTAGTAGCACGTTGTTTTTCTCTTTTGATGGTTTGACTCACATATTGGCAAATTTTGTTAAGGGATGTATACTGCTGTATTTGAAAAAGGCATTTTTCAGCATTAATGATAACAATAAATGTTGGCACATATTTCTACAAGGGCTTGGAATGGGATAGACTAGAAAATATATGTTCAAGACATGCTCGTTCTTTGATCAACTTTTGAGGTTCATAAATTTCAATCTTTCACAGAGGGGTGCCTCCTTCTCCGAGGTCTGATCATGCTGCTGCGGTCCATGCTGACCGCTATCTTCTTATATTTGGTGGTGGTTCTCATGCCACTTGTTACAATGATCTCCATGTCCTTGATTTGCAAAGTGTGAGACAACTAGTCAATTCTGAAATTTGTTTACATGCTTGGTAAAACTATCACTTACTCATATATTTGGACTGTATAGATGGAGTGGTCAAGACCCACACAACAAGGTGAAATACCAACTCCACGGGCTGGACATGCAGGTGTAACTGTTGGAGAGAATTGGTTCATAGTTGGCGGTGGTGACAACAAGAGTGGTATGTATGCTATATTTTTTTTTGCATCTGGTTGGTTTATGCTATAATATTTGCATCTGGTTGGTTTTGGAATTCATAAAACTTCTGGTTGATCTATTTTTTAACCGGAATCCACTTTACTCTACGCGGTTAGGTATTGATCTCTTCATTTTTCATTTTTGCAGGCGTTTCAGAAACTGTTGTCCTAAATATGTCCACGCTTGTTTGGTCTGTTGTAACTACTGTTGAAGGGCGCATTCCTGTTGCTAGTGAGGTATTCGATTCTTGGGAACTCTGTATAGTTAACCTAGCTTGAATGGCTTTGAGCTACATTCCTTGGTACCACATTAATTATGAATCATGATAAGATCTTTGCATCCATGATCGATTGGTACCATGTAAAAGTTGAGATGATTCACTGCCAGCAGTAATGTAGTGGAATGACGATCTAATTGTTTCCATTTTCAGGGACTAAGTCTGGTCGTAGGTTCTTACAATGGTGAAGATGTCCTCGTATCATTTGGAGGATACAATGGGCGTTACAACAATGAGGTAAGGATGAGCTTTCATGGTCTTGTAGCGTATGGTGCTCCTGTTCTATTGTCATGTTAAATTTGCTTCTCTCTGTTAGGTTAACGTTCTTAAACCAAGCCACAAGTCAACCTTGCAATCAAAGATGACGGAAACTCCTGTTCCAGACAGTGTTTCTGCTGTGCATAATCAAAGTGCTACCAGAGATTTGGAGTCTGAAACAGGGCAAGAAGGAAAAGTTAGGGAAATTGAAATGGACAATGTTGACTCAGATGCCATGGTATGTGATGTTAAAAATTATGTGGAGATTTGGCCACAATGTTGCGTCTTACGTATTATTTTACTCAAACATCTGAACTCTTATGCAGAAATCAAGAGGCAAGGGTACCAATGAACATATAGCGACCCTCAAATCAGAGAAAGAAGAATTAGAATCATCACTCAGCAAGGAGAAAGCGCAAACTCTCCAATTAAAGCAAGATTTAGCAGAAGCAGAGACTCGCAACACTGACCTGTACAAGGTACTTTATGTTCACAAAGAAATTATTATTGTGCATTTTCAAGGGCACAAATAATTCTTGGACAATTCTCTTGACGCTTGGACGGAGATTTTTTTTATTGTCCACTATTGGTTTTGATTATCCAATTTTTCAAGAGCACATGTAATTCTTGTATGTTTTCTGCTCTATGAGTTTCCATTGATTTTCTCATACTGATTTTGTAGGAGCTTCAATCAGTACGTGGTCAACTAGGATCTGAGCAGTCAAGATGTTTCAAACTTGAGGTATGTTATCATGTACTAACCGAGTTTACCTTTTGCCTCGCAAATGTGGACGACTATCACTTGATTCTCGGTTCATCAAGATGATTGCGTCGCCAAACAAGATATGTTGCACTTCCGGGTTCAAATTTTCTGCTAATTACTCTTTGAACGAGCAGGTTGAACTTGCAGAACTACGACAGAAGCTCCAAACAATGGACGCATTGCAGAAAGAACTTGAACTCCTCCAGCGACAAAAGGCTGCATCTGAACAAGCAGCACTAAATGCTAAAAAGCAGAGCTCAGGTGGCGTCTGGGGCTGGCTCGCGGGAACCCCTTCTAATGAAAAAGCTGATGACGCCTAAATAGATTTCGAAACCAATTGGCAGTAGGGATTGTTACTCGTAAGATTCGGTTCTCATTGACTTTTCTTTTAATACCATTCGACATGATTTTGTTTTGCTCTACCAAAGTTCTTTCCTGGGATAGAAGAAATAAGATAATACGAGGTTCTTATCGGCGAGAGAGGGCGGGAATCCCCCTTCGGGGTTTTTGCGTGAATACATACATGTACTGCAATTTCAGCTTTGTAGTTTCATGTCTGTGAGTGCTTATGTTGTTCTTTTGGGTCACAATTTTTTGTTGTAGTTTGTATTCAAAGTGAATATATTAAGTGGAGGTGTAGATCTCATTTGTTTATAATTTGTGTCTAATGGAAGTATATTTGGGTGACCTTTCACATCTTTCTTCCCTTTGAGGCTTTTGTTATTTTGTGCACAATGTAATTATTAATTTTCATAAAATGAGTGATACACTACAAAAAATTTATTAAATTTGTTTATATATATATATATATATATTGTTTTTTTTAAGAAAGGAACCAGCTGGTGGCGCGAAGCCACGTCAATCCACTTTTCTGAGGCTGGGCAGACTTACAGAGACATTTTAGTCTTCTTGGCCATCATCGTGTGATTTACCAATTCTATGAATCAAACTCAGGGTTAGTCGTGTGAAATGAAAATGTAGATCTTTATTATTTGTCAAAAAATCAATAATACTCTCCCACTTATAGCCTTTAGATCCAATCCAGTGGATTGAATTTAAGGGCTCTAAGGAGGTTCCCAAGCATTGTTGCCTCACCCTTTCTTCATTTGCTTAAAGCTCATATATTAATGGAGGTCAGAGGGCACACCTAATTTGTTGCCTGCACATTATATGGTTTCAAATTTCACTCAACTCGTGTTTTTTTTTCATTCGATTGGGTTTTTAAATCAACAATTTAGAATTGGCAAATCTACGTAACCAAAAAGTCCTCATTTTAATATGAGCCTTCAGATTAATCTAACCTCTCAATATTTTTTATGTGATTTACCGAGAAGGAAAAGTAAAATATTTGCGAGAAACATTAGTAGATGAGTAACACAAAATTGAATATGAACACACTCTAGATTCCATCTGTCACTAAACAAGAGAAATTTGTATTCGTTTATTGTTCACATAAAAAATGTTGGGATGGACACTAAATTCATAAAGATTGTTGCTGTCATTTTGATAAAATAATTTCGAAGTTAGGTCAGTAAGCTGAGGCATTATTTTTTGTACTATTCAGAATGCCGGATCAGCATTGCATGGTCAGTTTGGTCATCTCCTTGCGGATACACGACAGATCCTTCAGGGGTTTAAGCAATGGAAGATTTCTTTTGGACCTAGAGAGACGAATAAAGTGGCACATCGACTTGCACGGTTGAGTCTTATGGTTGATTATCTACTTTCTTGATTCGAAGAACCTCTTGATGTTATTAATGATTTATTATTAGAGGATAGTCTAGTTAATTGGTACAAGACACTTTTTTTTTCTTCGATCGGGTTAAAAACCTCGACAAAATTTTTATTGAGATCCATTGTTATCATCATATCGTTATGTACGTATTTCTCAAATGAATATCGTACTTTATCCTAAAAAAATGGCGGTTGAAACCAGTGAAAAAGTGAAAATTGGTCAAGCAAATACAAAAAAGAAACTTTATATATTGACGTGGCGGCATCCTTTTCCTTGTATAATATCTCCACGAGAGTGGAGTGAACCAAACTATTATTATTTCATTTCTCCAAACCCTGATAAAATCACAATTTTCCCCTAAATTTTCTTACCATCCAAACACCCTCTTCCTCTCTCTCTAGGGTTTTATCTGTATCCCTCAAAATCCCACACTTTCTCGCGTTTTCCCGGAAAATTACGCACTTTCAAAACCTCATCATGAGGTGTTAGAAAGCTATGCCGCCTCATTGGGACCCGCCAACTGTGTTCGTCCAGAGCTGCCAGAGGATTTGAATTGCTCAGCCGGTTCGAAGATCTCTGTGATGAACAACGATATCGGATTGGACGGGAAATCGGATGCCACTGAAGAGGCCGCGGAAGCTAGAGCTAGGGTTTCGCCAATGGAGCTCGATTCGGGGAGTGAGGCTGGCGGAAGATCTGAGGAGGATGGGGCTAGGTTTAGTACCGAGAGTGAAGGTGGAAATGTGGATAAAGTGATGGAATCGAAGGGTTCTGGAATTCAGGCGGATAGAACTAGGGTGGAGATTTCATTCAATGATGATGAAGATGATGTTTTCGACATTTCGCGGGTCGAAATTGACGACGATTCTGATAAATCTGAGGCTCACAATGGTGAGCACCCGTCTTTGTTGTCTGAGTTTGATGAGTTTGTAGCTAATGAGAAGAGTGGAATGGCTCTCGGGACGAAGAGGGCACTGAGCTACGGGTTCGAAGTGGGTGATATGGTGTGGGGGAAGGTAAAATCTCATCCGTGGTGGCCGGGACACATATATAACGAGGCGTTGGCAACGTCTCAGGTGCGGCGGACACGGAGGGAAGGTCATGTCTTGGTTGCTTTCTTTGGTGATAATAGTTACGGATGGTTCGACCCGGCTGAACTCATACCATTTGATCCCCACTACGCTGAGAAATCTCGGCAGACGAATCACAGGGGTTTTCTGAAGGCCGTGGAGGAGGCTGTTGATGAGGCGAATCGTAGGTGTGAACTTGGTCTGGTTTGCAAATGTAGGAATGCCTATAATTTTCGGAAAACAAGTGTGCAAGGGTACTTTGTTGTTGATGTGCCGGATTATGAGCCAGGAGCAGTGTATTCGGAGAATCAGATAAGGAAGGCGAGGGATAGTTTTAAGCCGATTGAGATGCTGTCTTTTGTAAAGCAGTTGGCTTTGTCACCACACGGTGATCATCAGAAGAGCCTCAGCTTTAATAAGATCAAGGCTACTGCTTTTTCTTTTCGCAAGGTTGTTTTTGAAGAGTATGATGAAACGTACGCTCAGGCATTTGGTGCACATCCAGGACGCCCTTCTCGTAGTCTAGTTCCAGCTCCAACTCGAGGTATATTAATAATTCTCCTCACCATTGGTAATAATGTTATAAATTTTGGACCTTCATGCTGTAACTTGTGTCTGTACTAGTCCAAGGAATGCCCGAGTAGGGTGCGATTACATTGCAGCAAAATATTTCAATAAATAGGTTCAGTAATTTGGATTGTAGATGTTGAACTCAAAATGATCAGTTACCTTAATCTCCATTCGTATTTGTAGCTATAGCTTGTAATGCATATATCAGTTTATGGTGATGTGTTAAGATATGTTCTTGACAGGAAGTGCCGTTGTAGTGGTATTTAAGTGAAGCATGGGGTCTAAACCCAAATTATTTGTTTTGTTAATTGGTATTTGTGAGATGATTTATCTTAAACCTTAAATTTGGTTTGACCCATAACATTGTGCAAATACGGAAAAAATGTTTACAAAATCCTTCAACGTTTTGCCTGAATTTACATTACCATTTGTGCTAGTGTATCATTGAGTAGTAAAATTTACAAGTTCGTCGAACCTTCTGCCCCTTTTTCTTCGTTTTAGTTTCTACAAAAGCAAAATTAGATGTTTCCCATCTGTATGCAAGTTGAATTCGCTGAACATGCTTTTCTAATTGGATTGTTTCCTTAACCAGCTGCTTTGAGTGGTCCTTTGGTGATTGCTGAAGTTCTGGGAGGGCAGAAGAGTGCCACAAAACCGATGAAAGTCAAGGACCATTCAAAGAGAGACAAATACCTATTGAAGCGGAGAGATGAACCTGGGAACTCGAAAACCCATCAAACTAGCCAGGGCCAAGCTAGTTCCTCAGCCCCATCTGCCGTCTTGGAGGGGTCAATATCAGTAGAAGATGAGAATTATATGTTACAAAAGAGGGCTCCAGATGTATCTGGAAAAGAAGCTGCAATCATTGATCAGGCAACAAATAGCTCTCTCATCCCCCAAGATGTTACTGTTGATGCAAAGCCATCTCTTGCAAAGGGAAGGGGGGCTCTGCAGGAAGTGAAAGAGGGAGAGGGAGATGGAGATGTAGGTCCTACAGCCACAGGATATGTAGATTTATTGGGGGATGGGACCAAGCAACGTACAATAGATGGTACATCACAACCTTTAAAGCAGGAAGGTGAGGGTGTAATAGAGTTTAAATATGAAGAGAGTGAAAAATTGTCTGGATCATATGAAAAATTTCAACAACCTTCGAGTTCTTTGAAAAAAGTGGAAGTAGCCTATGAACGTGGTGTTGGAGATCCTTTGCCAATTGAGGCAAAGAGTTTAGGTGGTAAGAAAGCAGCTGGTGGAGTGAAAAAACCGAAGGTTCTTAAACGGACTGCGGAGGACTTGAACATTGATGACTCTATGATGGGGGATAAAAAGAAAAAGAAAAGGAAGAAACAGTTAGATGCGGAAGCTAGCGCCAGAAATCAACAGAAGCCTCTGACTTCTGGAAAGGTACTGCACTCAGGGAGTAAAGCAGCAGGAAATGCCAATCATGTAGGTTTGGCTGCAAGAGAGGATACCCAGGTTGAACATAAGAAAGATGTCACTTACAGTAATAACTTGTCTGAATCTGTTGGAAAATTACCGTTTTGTGGCTTGGAAAATGTGCAGCTTGATATACCACAACTGGTAAGTGATTTGCAAGCCCTTGCCCTTGATCCTTTCCACGGTATTGAGACAAACAGCCCTGCAATTGTTCGGCAGTTCTTTCTGCACTTCCGGTCCCTTGTCTACCAGAAAAGTTTGGTTCTGTCACCACCCTCAGAGACTGAACCTGTTGAAGTTCGCTCCTCTAAATCTTCATCTGGTGTGAAAGCCTCTGATATATCTCCTACTGAGCAAGTTAGAGATTTATCATCCTCAAAGGCAGCAAAACCCATGTTCAGATCCGACGATCCTACCATAGCTGGGCGGAAACGTGCTCCATCTGACCGTCAAGGAGATATTGCGGCTAAGAGGTACAAGAAAATTACTGATATAAGAACATTGGCTGCAGAAAAGAAGGCTATTCAGAGACCTCCTATAGACTCCAAGCGTATAGAGGCAAAAGAATCAGCAACACCGGTTATGCGGAAGTCACTCAAGCCAGGTTTTGCAAAGAAAACGGACCCTGCATCAAAGGCAGTTGAGCCCACAATGCTGGTGTTGAAATTCCCTCCCAATATCTCTCTCCCATCACCTGCAGAACTGAAGGCAAAGTTTGCCCGATTTGGGCCTATGGACCAGTCCGGTCTCCGTGTCTTTTGGAAGTCCTCGACATGCCGGGTTGTCTTTCTGTACAAATCTGATGCACAAGCAGCATTTAAGTTTGCTACCGCAAACAGCTCCCTTTTCGGCAACTTTAGTGTGAGGTGTCAAATTCGAGAAGTGGGTGGTCCTGAAGTTCCAGAGTTAGGCAAGGGTGACAATCCCAGGGAGACGCCGCGGGCTAAGGATCCATCAGTTATGCAATCACCAGCATTGGCATCGGCACTCAGACAGCAGCAGCAGTATCAGCAGCAGGCTCAACAGAGTGGAGTGCAGCTGAAGTCGATTCTGAAGAAGTATTCAGGCGAGGAGTCAGCAGGAGGGCAGGTAACCGGTGGGAATGGAAATAGTAAGGGGACTGCGCGTGTAAAATTCATGTTGGGTGGGGAAGAAACTAGTAGGACTACTACTTCTGATCAATTCATGATGCCTGGTAATAGAAATAACAACTTCAACAAGAACAACAGTGCTAGTTTTGTGGACGTCGACGGTGCACCGTCTTCTACTACTTCCACTGCTATGGATTTTAATACAACTAGGAACTTTCAAAAGGTCAATCCTCCTCCAACTTTTTCATCACCACTGCCTCCTCTCCTCCCTAATCCTCCCGGCCCACCTCCACAATATGCCAAACCCCCACCCCATAGCAATTTTCCGCAGCATTCCGAACTGGCACCACCCAGAAATACTAGTCACAATCTTAACGCACCACCCACAAGCACTGTCGATATTTCGCAGCAGATGCTTAGCTTGTTGACTAGGTGCAGCGACGTTGTATCCAACGTGAAGGGCTTGCTCGGCTATGTGCCTTACCATCCTCTCTGATGAAGCCACCTCGAAAATTTATTACGCCATAAAGCCGCGTCACCAACAAGATTCGAACGCAGCATTTCAGGGCTCGAAAGCTTTGCTTGCGTCCGAGTTTTAAAGGACGTGGACGTGGGGCGAAAGTTGTTAAGAGGGAGAGATGCCAAACCAAAGAGAGTGGTGGACTCGGCGTAAACTTTACATGTAGTAGTTTTTACAAGTTGGATACTCTCTTGTACTGATGATATTGATAGTGCCGTTTTGTTTGCATTTTTTAATTTTGTTTGTATTTTTGTTTGGGTGGGTTTGACTTTTGGCCCGTAGGCTGGAATACGGCACAACGGGGGAGCTTTGTGTCCGAATGTCGTATAAGTCATTCGGAGACCTTTCCTTTTGGACATAACTCGTGGTCAACGTTTATAATGGGGCGGAGAAAAGAAGGAAATTGAAGAGGACATAGTTGATGGGATGCCATTTATATTCCATTGATGGAAACAATGATTGGTAAGGTGGATTTTATGTGCTATGTTGATGGTTATGCAATTTTTTATCCTACATTTTGTACAAGCGATGCAGGAGGATGGAGATTCAAATTTGAGACATTAAGAGTACGAAAGTGGATATTTGTAATCGATTGAGTTACAAGCTGCTTGTATATATTTTTTATTATTTCTCTTCTCTTACACTCTTTTATTGATTAAATAAATTAAATAAAAATTAAAAGACAAACAGAAACAAGATTGCAAAAAAAGAAAACGAAGGTATCAATTTGGATTGACTTTTTATGCTTGGAAATTGAATGGTCCAAGTTGCAAAGCTTTTTTATTTTTTTATTTTTTTTAAAGGGAACAATTAGTGGTAAATTACGATTATTCATCTTTTTAAGTGCTAAAAAGGTTATGAGAAATTTCACCTACCTGTGATTACAGTTAAACAGACTCAGCAATTCAGAGCATCGAACTTAAAACCTCTCATATTTTTTTGTGTTTTTTTTTGCTCGCTCTCATATTTTTTTGTTTATTGAAAAGCCACAACCGCACCTCTACCACTTATCACAGTCTTAAGTTGCAAAGTTGGAGATGTAGAGAATAATGAGAAATGGACTAACATGACCTCGGCGTGAACGGTGGAGGTGGAATCTTATCCTAATTACCACGTTACGCTTTTTTAGGTCAGAAGGCTTCCATTCAACGGCCATATTTCATCAACGCAATTTATTCCTTCTTTCGTAAGCATCGACCAAAGCCAGTCACTCTGTCACTCACTCATTCCCACGTTCCATTTTTGTAAGGATCCTCGTCATTGGATTCTCTTTATGAGGATCTTGATGATTCTTCAATCATATGTATTTATTGTACATTGTACGACCAATTTTTGTTAGGTATTGTTTATATTCAATTTTAAATAAAAAAATTTACAATAATTTATGATCACATAATGTACGATGAACGGATGTGATCAGATGATCCCCAACATCATCTTGGATTTTTTACGTGTTTTTCTCTAAAAAATCATTCATGATATTATTCACTTACAACACATTTTTATCATTTTCATTAAAACTCAAAATTTTCTAGCTATTTTCATTAGTTTTTCTTTTATCCTATAAATGGTGACTTTTTATGTAATGTATAAATGACACGTGTAAATCAGAACAACACATGACAGTAAACTTGTTCAACGTGAGTTGCTTTCCTCGGTATATTTTGATGTGACCATGCTCTTGTTTTAATCTTGACCATCCAGTAAATTCAATGGATCGGATTATACATGCCAAGCTCTAGAACAAACTGTTTTTTTTTTTTTTTGAACAAACGATATTATTTATACTAAGGGAAATGAGATGGGCTTAACCTTACAATAGGCTAGCAGTAATGTGGTTCAAATTCGTATTTGGCGATAATCAAACCTAATACCTCTCACTTACAAATAAAGAGGAATATCATTAGACTGTAGTATTAAACGGCAGATCAAAGTTCAAACTGTTGTTTGAAGCTCCAACTAAAACTGTTATTCTGGAAGCCGTGGTTATAAATTTGGGTTTAGTGCCAAATAGAAGCCTTGTTCGAAATTAGAGAGTTGGTAAATTAATAACCACTCTGATTAGTTTGGTCCATGGAATGTTTAGTTTAGTTAAACATAACCAACATAACCAAAAAAATCAGAGGCCTAGATAGTTCAGTTTAAGGAAAAATTAAACAGATAATTAACAGATAAAAATAAAACAAAACACATTTACAAGAACAGAAAACCAGAAAATTAATTAATCAGAGCAAAGCTTGATTACTCCTTTGTTTACAAAGCATTAGAAAAAGGATCCAAAGTGGAAGAGAAAAGAGAGAACGAATAATAAAGATGGGAATTTGCTGGGGTTTTCTGGGTGATCATCCAACACCACTAGGCTCTTCTGGATACAGGTATCTATCTCTTCATTTTCTATTTTTCATTTTCCTGGTTTATTATTCATACAAGCAATTTGAGGGAAGAATTTTGGGTGCAAAGATAAACGCTTTTAACTATTTAAGCGACAAACTCTGCATTTTTCTTATTCTATAGTCTTAACTCTTAACAAATTGTGAGTTCGCATGAAAAAGTAGAAAAAAAAAATATGAAAAATACTTAGCTCCTTGGATGTTCTTTCAAGGAGATGCCAAATAATAGGTGTAGATGCACTATGCACATTTGACATAAGAAATTTTTTCAATTGAATTGTTATTTGCTGACTGGACTTTAAACTAATGAGGAGTCAAATTTGATATCAACGTCGAATTTATTTTTGATTAGTTTAGTGGTAGGTCCCTTATTCCATAACATTTTAGCCAATAAAAATTTTGTTTCAAACAATTTTTCTAATAAATAAGAGCTCTACACAAATGATAAAATAATATTTTATATTTTGATTATAGAAACATAAAATTTGATATAAGATTTTCGATTAACATACCAACCATCAATTGTAATTCAACAGTTATGATTTGACACGTTCTTAGAAATGTCACATCCATGATCTATATATACGAAAAAGATTGATATATGTTAGTAGTTAAGGAGGAATAACTCTTTGAATGTATTTTATATGTATACATCCAAAACAATATCTAAAACCATTAGCATATGAGCATATTCTAAAGTTAAAGAATTTAGAATACCAAATTGTGTGATTACGTCAGATGGAATTCATTCATTTTTGTTTTTTATCCCATTAAGAATTTAAGATTAGACGCATTCCGCAGGACAAGGATCATTTTCGGATTCTCTTTATAAGGATAAGTAATTATATTCGTTCATCGTATATCGTGCGATCATTTTTCGTTAGATACTATTTATATTTATTTAAAATAATTTTTAATTATACGATGTATAATAAACGAACACAAATAATTGATCTTTCGAATCCCAGAAAGGGAATCCTATTTACATTGCGCCACGCAAAACGTCTGTTGCTTTGCGCGGCTTTTACGTGTTTCTGGCCTGTCATTGTGGGACCACCGCTGCCCCACTCGCCTTAAATATCTTAATGACTAATCACCAAACCAACTGACTAAACTCTCATTAATCAATTCATTAGAGATAAGACAAAACGTAACTAGTCCTCGTCAATTGACTACACCCCACTCCACTCCACCATAAACATTATCTTCTCCAATATTCACATGAATTCTTTCACTCAATTTTAATTGTTGATGTGTTTGATCAATTTGATGAGAGAACCTTTTTTTGTGAACAATGCTCTATTTGCATAATTTGTTGACATACTTCAAGTCAGTTAGTCAGAAAAGTAATGTTTTCTTCTCCGTGTTATGTTCAAGTGATAAGAAATATTTATTTTTTATGTTTAGATTTTTCTAGTTGGTCACAACAGTGTATCGGCACTAAATTCAAGCTCAATCTTTACATTATAATCACATTAATCCCTTATTTGGCCAAATGGCACGTCAAAGAACAAAAACTATGAAACAAATAAAATTAATTTACGCGTTTCTCAAAAAATAATAATAATAATAATTAATTTACGCGTAAATATTTATTCATGAAAAAATCAATTTAAAAAAAATACGCGTAAACAAATATCCTAGGAAATACTCGAAATTAGAAAAGAAATTTATAACGTTGCCTAATTAACAAAATTGTAAAAAAATTAAATTAAAAATGTGACTCAGTGAAGCTTCACAGAAGCTGCCTTTTCGTTTGTCTTCATCCTCACCACCACTACTCTATAAATTCAAGATTTTTATCCTAACACTTTACAATTCAAGAATTTCCCAAATCTACCAAATCTAAGTCGAACAATCTTCTTCTTCCAAATTCCAATTTCAACAACTCTCAAGAATCATCGCCATGGATTGCAGGCCTCTGGAGGTAATCATCGACTCGGCCAACGACATCAAGGATGTCAACCTCTTCTCCAAGATGGACGTCTACGCCGCCGTTTCGGTCGCCGGCGACCCGCGCAACAAGAAGCAGAAGAACAAAACCCCCGTCGTCAAGGACGGAGGCACCAACCCCAAGTGGACCAGCTACCCCATCAGGTTCACCGTCGACGAAGCCGCCCTCCTCAACAACCGCCTCACCCTCAACATCAAGCTCGTCTCCGAACGCACTTTGGGAGACACCAAGATCGGCAAGGTCAAGATCCCGCTCAAGGAGCTACTAGACACCATGAGCGGCGGCGATGATCAGAAGAAGCAGATCAAGCACGTCAGCTACGGCCTCCGATCGTCGAGCGGAAGGCCCAAGGGGACCGTCAATTTCGGGTACAAATTCGGTGACAAGTTTTCGGTTCCGGTTCCAGTGCAGAGGAAAGTCCACGAGCCCGTGATGGCATACCCGACCGGACAGCCCGGGTCAAGCTCCGGGTACCCGCCCGCGGGTGCCTACCCACCTGCCCAAGCTTACCCATACCCGCCACCGCCTCATCAGCAACCGGGTTACGCGTACGCTCCACCGCCACAAGCCGGGTACGGATACCCGCCTCAGCCGGGGTACGGATACCCGCCGCAGCAAGTTGTGCACCCGCAGAAGCCTAAGAGGGGCGGAGGAGGGAACATGGCGATGGGTGTGGGAGCTGGGTTGCTGGGTGGATTGTTGATCGGGGATATGATTGGGGATGTCGGTGAGATGGGCGCTTACGATGCTGGGTACGATGCTGGGGTCGGTGATGACTTTGGTGGTGGCTTTGATTTCTAGTGATATATATATATATTTTTTTTGGGTGTTTTAATTTGTTGTTTTGAGTTTTTGGTTTTGGGACGAAGGAAGACATAAAAATGTTAGTGGAGGTTTTAGGGTTTAATGTTCAATAATCATCAGTGGATTTTCACATCTTAGTTGGCCCTGTATATTTTTAAGCCATTTTAGTATGTGTGAATCATAACATATGACGTTGTATTCATATTCTGGACATACTGAAAATTTCTTCAACATTTGAAATAATAATAACTAAGTGATAGTGCAGTTACCTATATCATAACATATGGCCTTGTTTTTGATCCGTATAAACAGCTAAGATAAACTAAATTACAACTTCCTCCTCATTCTTCTATTTTCTTCTACCATTGTCTTTTTTTTTTCTCTTTTTATGAGTGATTCTATTATGCGCACCATGTGGTCAATGAAATACCTAAGTTGAAAAACCCTTGGCAGTCTTCAACATTATTCTACAGTATTCTTCATCTACCCTCGACAAGCCTCTATAAATAATAGTTGTTGATATATGTTCGCATAAACTTCCAGCATATGTCGACAGAAATTAACAAATGTCTACTAAGTGCTAAACGAAATGGTCTAATAAAACTTTTTATGTGATATTATGACCCATTATTTTAGAATCATGGCTACACCACTATTCCCGTCTAAATCCTGTCTTCTCGAGTCCCCTCCTCTCTCACTACCCTTTATTTCTTTCTCTTTCTATATAAAAAAATAAATAAATAAATAAAAATAAATAAATAAAAAGGTTACCACCAGATGTTAAACGCGGTTTAATTGCAACGGTTCAAATATGTGGGAATTGGAGGGCAGGATAATTTGAAGTGAAATTGGAGAAGTAGGTAAAGTTCACTTTCCAGTTTGTCAATCATAAAAACTATTCTGGACGCGTTGAAAACGATTTTAGTGACGCATAAGAAGAGTTATTGGAAGTCAATTAGTTGTCGGCAACCTATCCAAATCGCTTCCAGTCCAGTCCTTCTGCTTACTAAACTTTCCACCAAATAAAAGTCAAGGAATCCTTGTGTCAGTCACAGCGTCTGGCTCACCCAAGAAAGACTTTGGTGAGCGGCATTGATCATTTCAATTAGGCAATCGTACAAGGCCATGGCTATGGCGGTCTGCGTTCGACGCAGTGCAGGCCAAGGCTGGGCGAAGGCACACAATAATATGTAATACATAAAACCCTCATCCTGGTTCCATAGATATAAACATCAGCTTTCCTTTCCAAGACATTCGTAACCTCAAATGCATATTCTTCAACTCGCATAGAAACTGCAAAGGTGCTCCGACTCTACGGTATCATATCATAACCTACACCTTAGTGTGGAGAGACCATCCGAAACAGGAAACGAAGTTACTCAACCATCAGAAAAACCTAGAGTAAACTGCCGATTTGCCCCCTGAACTATCACCCAACTTTCGATTTCCCCCCTAAACTTTTTAATTGGAAAATTAAGGACTTCAACTAATTTTTTTTGGCCTATTTGCCCCCTGCTGTTAATTTTTCATTCATTCCATCCAAATTTATGTTAAATGGAAGCATATGCACAACATGTGTGAGTAGTTCGGTCGCTTCATTATTTAAAATAATTGAAAACCTTAGATTTTTATAATATAAACCTATGCAAATATGTGTGATTATATAGCTTTTGTGTCTGAATGTCTAGTAAAGTGACGCTTTTGTCCACAAATGAGAGTTACGTGGTTTGCACATGATAAGAGTTAACATTAATTTGGATGAAATCTATTAAAAACTAACGGTAAGGGGGAAATCGGCCAAAAAACTTAGTTTAAGTACTTAATTTTCCAATTAAAAAGTTCATGAGGGAAATTGAAAGTTGGGTGATAGTTCATGACACGTCCAGATCCCAATATTTCCCCGAATACCAGGATAGGCACGTGCTGACCGACACCCGAGGGTGACGAAAGCCATTTATTGAGTGCAATTGCTGAAAACAATGAATAGATAAGGTTTATAAATATAAAAGAATAAAGAATATGCATTTAAGGAACATGTTTAGAGTATACGACTAACTAGAATACTAAAATAAATAATATAAAATTGAATGAATAAAAGAATGGGTCCCACATCAAAAGGACTCGAAAATGCCGATGCAGAAGTGCCTTGATGCCGGGATTGTATGCCTCGATTCTAAGTCCTGAAGGGGGCACAAAACAAACATGAGCGGACAAAGTTGATATATATATATAATAAAACAATTATCAACGTACTAACCCCTAGGTTTTATGAAAACACATATATAATGTTAAACATAGGTTTTCCAAAACCTAGCATGCCGTGCAATGTCTCAAATCATAACTCATATATAATAATCACTAGTGACTGTCCGTTAACCCCTATGCCCCATGCCGGCTCCCCGTCTTTGAGCAGACAGGCAGAGGAAAATACACTTCAGGCCCCATACCGGCTTCCCGTCCTTGTGCTAATAGCCAGAGGAAACACACTTCAAGCCCTATGCCAACACCAAACCATCACTCGGGACAGACCGAAATCTATCCCTACGTCTCGTAGCGGAAATGACCACTAGGTAGGTACAAAACAATTGAACATATATACATTGAAAAGCAACTTCATAGTATAAAGTCATTCATCATCTATACAATAAAGATGTGTGCGAAACATGTTCTAAATATCTGTTTAGACCCAAATTTACACCATCGGCCTGTGCAATCGAGGTCGTTGGTTGAGCATAGTTTCACACCGTCAGATGAAAAGTGGAGATAATTCATTTTATTATTAAAGGATAATGTTATGGTGATTTATCATAATTATCTTTTAATAGTAATTTATTATGAAAGATGAGATATATATTTCCAACTGGAAGAATGGCAGCACAAGTCAAGCTGACTTGGGTGTTCTGACATGCGAATGTGTGGTGCAAATTGATTATTGTTTATTTAAAGTATGTGAAGAAGCCTAAATAGGATAAGATTGGATTGGATTTTGGTGGTGATGTGATAGGCCTAGGTTGAGATGATGACACAACAAACCTAGGTAGACTAGGCTTTTTATGTGATTGAAGTGAAGGTTTTTGCTAGAGGTTTTTAATAAGATCAGAAGCCTAGGTGGATTAGGTTTATGATGTGGTGTGATAAAGCTTGGATGGGCTTTATTTTGGAAGTCGCAGAACTTTAAAGGCCACTGATCAAATTTTATTCAGCGAGTTAGAGTTGCAGTCAAACTCTATCTAGCCGTGCCAAGCAAGTACATCAATCACTATAAATACAGAGTCGCGAACAACGGGAATGGGACCTTTAATTCAACACACAAAACTACCCTGCGCAAACCCTCTTAACAACTTTGAGATTTTTTTTATTTTCTTTTTCGCCAACATATCTTCAGTTTGGATAAACAGCACTGTGAAGGCAACCGGCGAACATCTTCAGTTTGGATCACTGTTGCTATAGAATCAGCCGATCGCGGAGCACCTTCAGTTTGGATAAACAGCATTGCGTCGAGGCCGACTAGTTATCTATCCAAGTCTCGATCGAGAAGGATTTTCGAATCCTTATTGGTCGAGGTCATCTTGTTAGCCTTTTTGGCGAAGTGGGGTGTTAAAATTTATTACATTTGGCACATTGAAAGCCGAATTTGATATTAAACTTCGCAGAACTAGCAGCCTTGTCTTCAGGCTCTAGAACCTAAAGGCCGAGACGTGTTCCTTCCTCGGCCGCAGTCGCAAGATCAAGAAGTCAGCAGCACACTCAAAGCAACATCAACAAATTTTACTCCTCGATCGAGCTCGACCGACTAGTTGGCACGCCCTGCAGACAACCGAATGACGTAGTTAGCTTATAGATTACTCGGCCTGCGCGCCACGTATGCTTGGTAGTTTTTAGGGTCAACATTTTGGCACGTCCAGTGGGACCCAATGCTAATACTACGAAGTTCATATGATATATCAAGATTCCAATCTGGCTCAACGTAACCAATTGTACGAGCTCCTAGAGGAATTGAAAAAACACAATGAGGAATGTAAAAGATCTTTGGAAGTGGAAAAAGTTCTTCGTGGCCATAGAGAGATGCAAAAGTCATTTGCTTACATGTTGAGAATAAAAGCTCATGTTACCCTGCAAGAGCAATAGGTAAATGAAGACAGGGCTCGATTTAATGCCTGGCTAGATGATGACAGTTTTCCTTACGTATCTGATTACAGATCAATTCCATTTGAAAAATGGTTAAGTCCAAAGGCCAGGGGGCAATTTTGCTCCGGCCACTATTAAAATTCAGCCTCAGAACATTGTCGAGACATTCAAAGAAGAACCTAGGCCACCTGTTTTTTTGGTCGAGACTGAAATTATGGTAGGCCTAGAAGTAAAAGTTCAAGTTGCTGAGCCACAAATCGACTTAGAAAATGATTCGTCAGATGAGTGCTCCAATGACGAACAAGGCTGAGACATAAGCCTAGCCAAACAAACTACGCTACTCGATATGATTATTGGGGATAAAGCCGATATGAAGAAATCTCATTCGGCTAAGTTATTTGAGTTAAAAGCTGAAATTGACCAAATTATTATGCTTGGAGGACATAATAATTGTTCAACACATTCGACAGCCGATGAAAAATATTTCGCCAAGTCAAAAATATTTGGAGAAAATTCTTTATTTGGCCCAAGGCAAAATCAATTTGAAAATTTTGTTATTGCAAGATCTCAGCTTGGAATAAAGCATCGTTGGCCTCTACGGCTATGCAAGCCGATGTAAAGAAAATGGGGGGCAGACATTATAGGCTAAATCTCAATAAGGCCTGATGCTTGGTGCAGTACTGGCCTGTTGCTTGGTGCAGTACTAGCCTGATGTCGTGCAGTGTGCAATTTGTTTAAATTTAAAGCCAACATCATTATGGCATGATGCCAGGTTTGTTTTATGTGTGTGTGTGTCTATATATATATATATATATATATATATATAGACAGATCACATCAGCCAGGCTACCTATTTAGTCATGATTGCT